ATTTGGAAACATTAGGTCTAGAGAACCGGTTTTTGAAGTTAAATTGTTGAATGAGGGATGGATAGCGATTATCTTTAGGTTTCTAACTCTGAAGAAGGCGATAACGCCGAAACGTAAGTTGATAAGAATTTATTTACCTTCTTGGCAGCAGGTTTTATTAAAATCTTGTAAAATAAATGCAAAGCTATGCCAAGATTTATCGAGAGTCGAACATGGACGCTTACAAATCCGTTTGATTCTTTTGTACCAGCTTTTTAGGAATTTTCTGCCTTCGATAGATTTTTGGGACCTCTTCGATTTAATTCAATAGATCCATACATAATACGTGAGAACTGTTGAGGCTTGGAGCAGAAAAAATCTAGATAGGGGCAATGAGGGTTTGAAAAGAGCACAAGGTAGCTCCCAATGTCGGGATCTTTCGTTAGCTATGCCTTTTAGCCGTTTAAAAGGATCTTCTGTGGATGAAAGTAGTTGCACATCGTAAAGCACACAACATCGCATAAAAGTAATTAAGTATGTTCGACAAAGTTAGGAGCAAGGTTAATACAGCAGTCATCACCCGACGTGCTTAACAATGACAAAAACCTGCCTGCACACTCTGTCCGCCGTTACATCCTCGCAGGAACACGAAAATCAAAAACTATCCAAACACCTTGTTGATTGATGTGATTTGTTTTTGATCAATAACCACTGACGAAGAGTGATTAAGAACTTTGTGAGAGTTACACATAGCGAGCTGCAGCTGAGAACAACGCTTGTGAGAGTTACACATAGCGAGCTGCAGCTGAGAACAACGCTCGACAATATTCACCGATCAAAACCTTATGATGATATTGACTAATCGACCAACGGTTAGAGATTGTTCTTTACAGAACGTTCACGCCTCAGTACATGTCTGTTGTGTCTTTCTGACTACATGATTAATCAATAGGATCAATCATCATCATTACTTACCCTATGTGAAGAATTCGCTTCTGCCCGTCTACTTATTACGGATTCCGGTACTACCTGAATAGAATATGGGGAGGTCGTGTCAAGTTCAGGATGGGATGTCCACAGCGCAAGATCAACACAGCGCATGTGAGCTCAGCAGAGCTGCGCCCAAAAGGAGTGTGCCGTGCAGCGGAGTGGGCGATGCCATAAGGTATTTTGCCTTGCAATTTCAATTCCACATGCACAAAAAAAAATTCAAAAAAAGAAATGAAGTAGATCCAACTGTCGCATTCTCGCAGTGGGCGATGCCTTTCAAAAACGCTCAAAGTTGCAAAAAAAGTGGTCAGAGGCTATCTACGGAAGGCGGCCAAATTTTCGAAAAGGGCGCATCTTTCGCTGTGGTGGATGAGCTAAGACTGAACCTTCATAACTCTGATCAAAAGCCTTTCAAAACGCGGGGAAAGTTGTGGCCGTTGGAAAATTGTGTCCAAATTGTCATAATGGGCTTGCTAAGGTCCATGGTTCATGACTTTCTTTGGAAAGGTTCCAGAATGGAAAGAAGTGCATGAAGGCTGCTCTAGGAAGGGTGGTCACGGCGGGAGGAGTTAAGGTCAAAAATTCACAACTCTGCTGAAAGAAGGTTATGACGATTCAGAATCGCTCTTTATATGACTTACCAACATTACTAATAGGATCATCATAACTACTTACTCTGTGTAAAGAAATCGCTCTCGTCCGTCTATCTGTCACGGAAGTCGGTATAACCTGTATAAGCACCCGGTCAGTTAGGGTCAAGTTCGGGATGGGCGGGGCCTAGGACAAGGTCATTAGAACATGCGTGAGTCCAGCGTAGCTCCTCCTACGGTGGGCGACACATGTACCGAAATGATCGGCGCCAGAACGATACAAATCCTAGTAGTCCTTCTTCATATGGCACGTGTTTCCTTTTGCAAAACATATGGAAGCGTCGATAGGAAACTTCCAACCTAAAAGGAAGCCAAAGAGATATCACATCTGTAACATCATGTGGGAATTCGTCATAGTCATTGCGATGTGTTCAGTACTAAAGACAATTGATGCCAAAGTAGTCACCAAGAATTCAGTAGTGAAGTAGTGATTCAAATCAACACTATGTTCAGGGAGGAGAGCTTGCATCATTTCGAAATCGCATCGTGTTGGATGACGACTTGAAAGAGCGAAGCCACAAAAAAATTTTTATAAATGTGATCACAAAGTTGGATAAAAATACCAACTAGCAACAATGCACATTCTTTGTGCGGATCCGACACAGTCCCAGAAAAAAACTACTACAAATTGCGGCAATTACAAATGCTACAAACAAACAAGCGCCAACATCGGTAGACGGTATCCACATGACCTCAAGATGGCAGAACGTTCCTCTCTATGCAGAATAGTAATCCTGGAAAAAATAGAATGTGCAGGCAAAAAATGATGAAAGAGGAGACCATCATGGCTCGGCTGTGCTCGAATGGAAATTATACAGGAGAGCTCTACTTGAGTTTGTCTCACAAAAGGCATGATGGCTCCCAATATTGTCGAGTTTACGTCATGCTGGTCCGATCACACTCATCACGCCGCACCTTCAGATCGAATACAGAGGCATGCTTGCCCACTACCGCTCAGCTCAACCGTTTCAAACAGAACGAGCTGCTGCAAGGCAGGTGTTTTATATTGCTGCGAAGGCCTGTAGCAGATAAGATGAGGGAAGTGTCATTGGAAGTAGCATCCCACATTGCCCAATCAAATGGCTAGTGCATTTCCCGATCACCCACAGAGCTTTTTCCAGTGGCGTGATAAGAGGACATCATAGTACCTTGATGGGAAGGAAAGTTTCTTGGACTGCCACTATGGGAATAGCATTAGAAAATAGCTCAAGATAGCGTTTCTAGAGAATTCCATCACCTTTAAAAACGTACCACCCTTCAATCTGAAGTCACGCCTGGATCGAAATTGCCCATACGGTCCCTTATATATCATCTGTACGGCCCATATTCCCCTTAATCATCAATTTTCTATAGTGGGTGCCAGTGATGTCTCCATTCGTACCTGTCGCGAGCTAGAGCGTAAATATATTGTATATAATGTAATATATAATGTAATATAATATTCGTAAATAAGGCTGACCATTGCGCTGGAGGTCTTCCTAGCATTGATTCAACGTCCCAAGTGATAGAGCCAGTAACCGACACAGCTCAACGGTAATCACGATATCGCATTACGTGAACGGCCCACCTGATCTTCGAGTTCTTGGCGTGAACAATGGCATACCTTATCTCCGCTTGTTGACGGAATTCGGAACTCCGGATTCCTCTTTGCACAGCGTAAATAGGGTAATCCCGAGCATTGTCTCATCCAGAGCTTGTTGAATGGCGGGCGCTGACTGCATGCTCCACCTGCTTTCGTAGAGCCCAAGTCTCTGAAGCGTACTTCAAAGCAAGAGGAACTGCAGTGTCGAATAGGTTAGCGCAGAGCGTTCTTGTTATTTGTCTTCTCAATACTCCCTCTTCTTCTTTAATTATTCTCTTAATTCTCCTTGCCACGCGTTCCCTTCCGCTCAGCTCCGGTACCAGGTCAGTCATCATATTGACTTCTCGACCTAGATACACATAGCTAGGGCATTCAGAGACATTCATTCCGTTCAGCTTGAAAAGAGCATCGGGCACCAGTCTGTTCTCGTGAAAGATACTTTCTCAGTTTCAGTCTATGCCGCTTTTCCACATACGTTGTCGGAATCGACTAGCATTGGTTTTGCATTTCAATGTTCAGTGTTATGAGCACGATGCTGACTGCAAGGGGAGATGATGTAAGTGGCAGGCGTCGACCTTTACTCCCATGCCTTCCCTTCT